GATAAAACATGCAGCCGGGCTTTAGATATTCTGTGAGTTTTTATTAAAAATAAGAGAAACACAAAAATCCTTTAAGGTACCAGCAACACCCCAAAAATATACTCAATGATCCCAATTCTTGCTATAAAAATCAATGCTATCCCTTGTCAGTGTTTTCACGACCCTTTTCTCTGCAACGCGCCAGTTTGCACAAGGTCAGGTAGGGGTGCGAGGCTTGCCAATAACAACATCTTCCCAGCTGGTCTCGTCTGCTAGGCTGGTGTTTGCTCAGTTTAGCTAAACATAGCGCGCGCGCCTTTATGTAGCATCGAAAGCCTGTGCTTACCTGTCTGTGCGCCCTGGGGCTGATAAGCAATCAGCGTAAAGGCGTTCGCTTGGCCCGGCTGTTTAGTAAATCCACCTCCTCCTCCTGCACCTCCATTACCAGTTCCGGTGACGCCTCCGCTGCAGACAGAGCCTGCATCTTGGCGTCGCACCGCGGCATAGTGTGTAATCTGAGGTTCGGCGGATCTGTGGGCCTGCGGTGAATTCATATTTTCATGGCCTGTGTCTTGTATCACCGCAGCGGTATAAATGGGCAGGGATCGTGAAGTATTGCCACTGGGAGTGATGCTGCCGCCGCTGCCAACAGCGTTGCTCTGTGTCTGTGCCACAACCTGCGCCATTTTGCCCCCACTGGGGTTACTGCTGGATGGAATGTTGGGAAGGAGGCCTGATCGCTGTATCCTGTGAAGACTCATCACACCAAGCGCCGACCCATTGCCTAGTCCCGGTTGCCTTGGGTAGGAATGATGAGGAAGGCTGGTGTTGTTGACGTTTTTAGTGGCCGAACCGGGTAAAGTGGAGGTAGCGATGGTGGCAGCTGCAGTTCCGGGTAGTGTACCGTGACTGAAGGGAGGCCCATTGTTTTTGACGAGGCCGCCGTTGGCGGTTGACCGCTTTTCAACTAGGGATTTGGGAACAAGTGACATCGTCTTCGGTGATGAGGTGGAGCTCTGGTTTGCGTCAGTGACCGCACCCAAGTCTACCAGACTTGATTGTGCAGACATCTGTCGGGGAAATAGAGTAGACGATTTCAAAGAAAGATAAGTTGGATGTAAGTCTCAAATGAATATTATTACGCATAGCGCATTATATTGACTATATTTACATGCTTCGCTCGCAGACCGGATAGTATATATGCAGACATGTGGGGTATGGGTGACATAAAATATAATAATTTAATAGTCAACGACCTGCTTTCGTTGACGGTTTTATCTCTGATGATAGGCTCCTGCAAGAATTCGAAAGCTCAGACTAGTAAAACTACGACTCCGGTGATCGAAACTTCTTCTTCTCAATCTATACACATACCTGGAATGCGAACCTTTGCCTCAATTCTTGATAAAATATAATAATTAAGTAGTTGACGAGCTGTTACTGACTCCAACGTAATTAGTCGAAAAAACGCTCGGTTCACATTTGACGCCATTAGGTGTGCCTTCTGGCATTTGGAAAATAGAAATCAGAGATGTTGATAATATCGTTTGCAAAGTTAAAATTGTAAATTACTCGACTAATCCACTAATAAAAGGATATTTATTGCAGTTGCACTTAATTTTGCAAATAATACATGGCATATGAAGCCCTCAGATGCTTTTTAAGCTTTTAATTTCTTTAGAAATTAATTTCTGTATTCGGTATATATCAGTTTATTCGTGATCTATAAGCAGAGACCGACATTTATAGTATATATTTGGAACGATCTCCATCAGCCACTCCGGGGCAACCGCGTAATATACACAGACTGCCAACGGGCAGACAGAAGTATACATTAATGGTGAAATGAACCATACTGACAGCTGCTAGTATGGTTAATTGAAACATAAAGATGGTATTCCTTTAAATCGATAAGCTTTGGTTTTTCGAAAGTTTCCCCTTGCAATTAGCGGAGACCTAACTAAAAAACAGAAGAGCTTTTAAACCAAAACATGTTGCAGTAATTTCTAAGACGAATTATCGGTCGATGCATATGAAGCATAGAGAGAAACGATCCAATGATATTTCAAATGGGGGAAGATATCAACAATTTTTCTAAGCTGGTTTACTTGATATTCGATTAGAGATGCTGTGTACAGGAATAGCTGATGGTTGCTGAACTAGTATTAAGTCAACATGTTGAAAAATGTCACGCTAAATTCATTAATATTTATTAGAAAAGCATATATTTACCTTCGTTTCGCCTGGAATAATTAACTCATATTTTTAATAGGAAAGGGTACATGCCTCTTACTCTAATGTTTCTTTTTTTAAAAAGAACTTGTGCCCTCCTAGCATTTTCTGCCTTGTAGAGGGGTAAATTTTTGTTGTAGAACTGTATATAGGGAAATCATCTTTTTAAAGCTAATTCCGTTTTTAAGGTGTTCTTGAGTGTTACTTTTCTTTGCTTCTCCATCTGCCCGAACGTATTTCCCTGGCAGCCTTCGAATATTGCCGCGTACAGCAGAAAGACTCTTAAATTGACAGATGGTACGCTACTTATATACTTCCGTCCGTAACCTCAAACGTCTGTCATTTAACGACGGGTTAATCATAGGAAATGTGATTGAATTGACACAGTATACAAAATTTATTATAAAAGTAGACCCCAGTTAAGAAATAAGTTTGCTTTAACTTATCGTTATGCAGGTAGCTAAAACTATCGATGATGGCATGTCTGATTTTAATTTGAATTTTGTTTTCCACTAGTTACACTTTCAACACAAAGTTGACATTTCTCCTCAAGAAGGCATATCGATGGAGTTTACTGCTTCATTGACAACAAATTTCCTGGCAGGCTGTTTACTGCAAACACTTACGCAATTTTTATAGAACCATATATTCTTCCTTCTATTAATAGGCCTGATGCATACTCCTTTCTTCAGTATTTGCCGTCGTCGTACTTTGATGCTTATCTATATAGCAGCACAACGTCGGAAAATGCGTATTTCAGATTATTTCTTATCAGGTATGATCAACAGCATACTCGCCGCTACGGAAATGAACTTACTTATTAGCCAATTAGTGATAAGACGCACATGTCAAGACCATCTCGTGGAAGGATATTAGCTGCCGACAAAACGTTCTTCAAGTTTGAATTTTACTTCATCTTCATCACGCCAACGGGTTTTAAATACCACGGCTCTTTTTATGCGGTTGTATCTAAAAAGCTTATTTCTGAAAAGCAGTTGCCTGAGAAAACCAAACCGAGATGGAACGCACATTATCATAGATAGGAGGTCAAAATAATGGGGTTTCATTTTTGACTCAGACGCTATACTTCTGGCTTTATAGTCATATACCCACGGCAGCGCAGTACGTTTTGGTTAACGATTTATAAAAAAACTCAATGTACTATGCGCTGCCTTCGAGCAAGTGTATATGAGATTATGGATAAGGGCTCCAGTGCACAAGCAGACTAGATGCCTTTATAATAGGCCACACTCAGGCAGACTATTTGGTGGTATCCGCCGTTTCCCATGTAACGGATAAAAGGGACCAAATGAAACGACAGCTTTGTAAATGTAAAAAGAACGTTTGACTGAGAATTGTGACACGTAATCACAAAAAAGGGCGCACTTTTTAGTTCATTACACGGTGATTCTACGAGGAAACTAGAAAGGATGCCAGAGACGATCATATCTTGAGGATCCGGTACTGTATCAATCAAGAAATACGTTGCCAACCTCCCACACGCGCGAGGGTGCAATTTACGGTAATTAGAAACGTGGAGAGATTCTGCGATTTGATCCACTATGAAGTCCAATTTTGTCTGCCTAATGTTCACGATGCAGCTGCAATTTATCAAATTCCCGACATACGTTGCTTGCCCCTGCTTACGGACGCACGGCTTCCTCTCTCATTGGAAATCCTGTCGCTAGCGGCCGAATGGTTCAGGTCGTTAATATACAAAGTATGAATGCGGTAGTTTGTTGTAAACTGTCACATGCGAATTTTATTTTGCACAATCAAGCAGGTAAACAATCATTGTTCGGGCGTGCACGTAACGTCTGCTTATTTTGTTTTCTCAAGAACGTAGAATAATCTATGCCGCAGACAGTATAAAAAAACGATCATATTTATCAACAATCCTACATATTTCTATCGCGTCCACAGAATTACCTACCAAAACCTATCGAAATATAATTGAAATTATTAAGTCAATAATAGAAACACGTCAGAACAAGTGCTATTCCGTCTCGAACGTTAACAATGGTTCATATATTAAGTGTTGTGTCACTTTATTGGGCTGTGGTTTCCAAGCCTATTTGATGCGGGCATGTGGTTTGCATTGACCTGGAGTGACCAAAGGCGTCGTCAGTTTAGGTGATATAGCTAGCCTTCTACGAAAATATGAGTAAAACGGAGGCTTTTGTGTTTTGTTTTGAATCTGGTTTGCAATGCTATTGATGCGAATAAGACGTCATTTCATGGAATATAAAATGCGATGCTCCATGTGTAATAAGATAATGAAAATGTTTCTGTTGTCCGAATTATATTTCAAAAGGAATAATTATAAAACAAATGATGCGATACGTCCTTATCGCATTCGACGTGCTACTACAATGGCTTATTTTTCTCTGCAGTCAGACACCTGTTTGTACTGATTTCTACACGTACGTATTAATTTTGTTATCTTTATATTGCACTACCCTAAGCACTGACATGAGGTTCTTCCCCGAACCAGTCGTCTCTGAACTATTTTAGCGCATTCGGATAACGTACTCCCTATATGGAAGACCAAACGAAAATGCATTTTTGAACAAATATTACATGTCTATATCTTATTTTTAAAAAATTTCAAATAGGAGGGGGGGATTTATAACTATAAATTGTTTTAAGCCGTATCTTGCATTTCCGTTTTGTGTTTGATTATTTTTACGCAGAACAGTCAATGTCCATCTCCGTTGCATTTTCCTTTTCAAAAATGGTTCATTGTGGAAACGTCTCCAAACAAACAAATTCTTGTTGAAGTGTGGGGAAACTACATCTAATTGCTTTCTTTTTATTCATGTACTCAGATAAGAGTAGCACTGGACACATCGGCGTAGACGCTACATCTGAAATTCCCAAAGGACCAAAAATGTGAAGTCCGACAATCCCGAGTGGATAAGGGAAGGCAATGGATGCATATTGGTGCAAGACTTGGCCAAACACGAAGCGCTTGTCAACCACGTACAAAATAAATTAACTGCTTTTCGTCCATTGGTCATATGTCTGATAAGAAACCTAAACAAAATAGTGTCGGTCATCTTTACGGCACACGCTGCCATTTCCCAAGAAGTTGTCTATGCTTTCCAATTTTTTTGAATACCGTTCTTGCGGCGTAACGACAGTTAGAAGTTTGTCTAGGGCAATTATGACCTTGCAGCAAGGGTATGAATGGTAGTACCCGATTATTATTATAACAGCGATCCAAAGTATCCTGATCCTTGCAAAAATGTTATTTTTATCGGCTTTCGGGTACTTTTATAATACAAAAGTTGCTTTTACTTTAAATCATAATATATCGTTTGGGTTGATTAATAAGTCGGTCCGTATACTGAATTCCCCTAAACGTTATCGCTATAAAATTATACAAACAATTGGTTGAGAATGCTCGGTTGTCCCACCGCAGTTATAACTTTCATACTGGACTGATAAACACCAAGGAAAAACATAGAGTCAGAAAGAAGACGTGCACAGAAAACGGTAGACCCGTTTCTGCAACCATTTTCTGCTAATGTCTCTGAGGATGAATGCGCGACGGATTTTGAAACGTCAGACGAATAAAAGTATTGTCTCAGCGATCGAGTCGTCTTCTTCTCAATCTTTTCCTGGGACTGCCATGTTCGCTTTTATTAGGAGAAAGATCGCCATAAATTATATCAGTCTTACAGATAAATATACCCCCAACTACTAATGTCAGACCAACTTAAACTAACCTTATGTCTGTTTAACCTTAATCAATTTAATTTTCCGTCGGATATTGCGCGCAGGCACGTCATAGCTAGACTTTTAAAGTTTACTTGACGATCATAAATTAATTAAT